CACCTGAAGAAGGGAGTGTGATTAATTTCCTAAAGATCGTGTATATCAAACGGAATGTACAATTAATTTTTTTAATTCGCTTAGTTGGGGTTGGAGTCCAGCTGGGTCCACTCGGCACGGCGGCCACTGACTGGCCTACTGTAGCCTGCCCCGGGTGATTGTTATGATGGAGAATTTGGTGGAATGAAGATTGGCAGGGGAAACCGAAGGACTTGGAGAAAACCCGCCCCAGCGCCACTTCGTCCACCACAAATCCCACTTGACAAGACCCGGGACCGAACCCGGGCGGCCACGGTGGGAAGCCAGCGACTAACCGCTTGAGCTATGGCGCGGCCTAAATGGAATGTGTCTCAGACCCCAAGAAATGGGCAATGTCCATCATAATATCGGCGTAATGAATCAAACAGTCACGAAAGCTTGGAGACTGCTTTAGAACCTGTCACCGTAAATTCGTCTCATGCTGGATATAATTTCTTAATAAAAAAGTAAAAAAGTAAGAAAAGCTAACCCTGTACCAAGCCGTGAAGGCTCGTACGGTTGTGAGATGTTGAGGGACCCACATTATCTAAACAATCGGCTCAAAGATGGCGGTAAGGTTGTCAGCCTTACGCGCCGGCCGCGCTTTACTCCCCAGAATACATTTATTTCCTCGTAACAAGTAATTACCAGAAAGCATCGTGATGATTGAAATAAAGAGTTCCCATAATTCTTATCCACCGAATTAAGAGTGAACATAAAGCACAATTTGAAAGAAAAGCTTAGTGTCATGGAAGTTTACGGTGCACCCTGTAGAGAGGAAGGGTCGAATCACGACGTGTGGAGAGAAAGGACGCACAGCAAATTTCATTTGGGGGTATGACTTTCGTATACGGGAATCGCGTGTGGATTCTCAGGAACTCTAATTTTGCAACTCTGTCTGTTCACCATACTGCACAATGAACGGTTCGCTCCAATGAGAAACACTTCCAAGAAGTTGCCACCACTCAATCCGTCTAAACAAATTCTTTCCGACGTGGCCGATCACATGGTTCCAACACTTGCATACAGCTATAAACTAGGGCGGAGAATTTTCTGCACAGTTGTCCCAGAATCTGAACTTCTCTTCTAGCACGGCGGGCGGATTTCCGAAGACTGTGCCGAAAAGCCTCACGAACTTCTATGACTGCTCAGCGTATACAGAATGTATATTCTCACCCTTAAAGTGTTCCGTCTAGTGCCTCACGGACTCTACTACAGGTACTTGTCCTCTGCTTTCCGGATGTTTACGTCTTTCACTTCAATCATGGATTTCAGTTCACAGCACAACACACATACGGCTTTCCGTTGCGGCGACATTTTGCGTTTCTGTTTCATATTCCTCCAACAGCGACACTACCGGTAAAAAGTTGTACCTGTGCTTAAGCAATTACGCACCGCGCCACGAAGACGTATGGGGGACTGGAGGTATAGCTCCACCATTCATGACCTGGACACTAGATGAAAAGTGCCACTACTGGTTACATTGTAAACTTGCATGAAACTGTCTTGAGCCGTTTCTGATCACCCCGAACCACTTTATGACATTTAATGTACTTTGTGCTTTATATCTGTCTACAATGTTGTGAATAAATTTTGGTTAACCTGTACAAACCTACAGTATCGGTGATTGGTGAAAATGAGTCGAAGTGTAACGCCAGCGTATTAAAGGCGCATACAAAACTACAACAAGATTAAAACAAACGTAACATTTGTCGGATGACGGGCCGTTTCATTAAAAGATGTAAAATATGGCTATATATCTATGTAATTCATTCAGAATAAACTTGTTATTCTTTTATCCGCTCCTCCATTACCCTTATTCGGGTTTCGAGGTTTCTTTTATTCTTTTAATAATTTCACAATCGGTAGGACTCCTTGGACGAGTGATCAGCCCGTCGCAAGGCTCCACCTAAACACAGGACAACACATACACACACCAAACATCCATGCCCTGAGTGGGATTCCAAACCACGATCTCGGCTTCCGAGCAAGCGAAGACAGTGTTTGCCTTAAGGGGCCCATACACGTAAGAGTCCGGCTCGGCGAGCTTGACTCGGGAGCCGCGCTCGGATTAATTTCACCACAAACGCATGAGCTGACTCCCAACTTTGCGACCCACACAAGGACGAGGTTGGCTCATTGGAACCGGATTCGCGAGCCAGACTAGTACGTGTATGGGCCCCCTTAGTCCCTCCAGGCAAACATTCGGACAGAACCTGGAATTAGGCCACGACCGCTTCCTTCCACAACCTTCTTCCATTTCATTGTTCACTATCGTTCAACCATCTCAAATTAAGCCACGACAGGTTCCTTCCAAAACCCTCCCAATTAATTACTGGACAATCACCCCACCGCTCGACCCCATACAGCACGAGATACTGACACTGTCGTTAAGCAAACCACAAAAAAATCAAAGATAAATAAAATTTACACCGACGTCACGGGTAAGTGGGCAGCTTCGCATTCCGTGGATGTTGAGCTGAATACTTGGTCAGGAGGGCGACTAACATTACTGAGATGTACTGTGGTTTTCATAACCCCCCCCCCTCTTCAAAGGAAGTGAGGGGGTGCTGCTTCAAATTCAGCCATCACTGCTTCCTTTCACGACCCTTCCAACTGACCGGTCACTGCCTATTTCAACTGATACTGAGCTGTGGAATTAAGTACTATCCGGTAAGGCGACAGAGTGGCATAGAAAATAAAACAAAAGCAATTAAATCACAGCAAGAGCATACTAAATCACAGAGAAGAAGAAAACATAGACGAAGACCGCGCCATAGCTCATGCGGCTAGTCGCTGGCTTCCCACCGCGGCGGCCCGGGTTCGATCCCGGGTCTGGTCAAGTGGGATTTGTGGTGGACAAAATGGCAATGAAGCAGGTTTTCCACCAATTGCTACACAATCACCCTCACCTATCATCTGGGGCTGGTACAATAGGCCAGAAGTGGCCGCAGTACAAGGGACTTAGTCCCACCCCATTAGCACTAAAAGAAAACATAGACGAAGATACATGAAACTATGTGCCTCCACAGCCTGTTCCGTATTCAGTATTGAGGGGGTGGGTTTCCCCCATGCACTTAGACCGGTTACTGGTCCACAGCCTGTTACAGGGATAGCTATACTCTTTTTTTATCAACACGAGACACTGAATCCAAACTGGATTTACCACCAGCATGCTAACGTTAATTCTTGAGACGAAAAAATTTTATTTTTAAGCTGTAGGAGGGGGTGAGACAGAGACCCTTGTTACTGCGGCTTTAAACGGGTGTAATGTACTAGCCTCTGAACATGAATGCTTGCGTTCCCATGCAGAGAAATCTGCAACATAATTTCAGAAAACTATTTTTGTTATCACGCTGTAACATGGGGTAGACGCATTTCTTCACCACAGTAATTATATAACACGCCAAGATTACGTAATTACTGTCGTCACGATGCCACTGCTTTTCTAATCTGGAAATAAGTACTTCTGACTCGAACCCATGCAGGTAGCAGCAAAATTAACCATCTTCCCGGGGTTCTCTCTCCAGGAAGAACATTTTTGGCTTTGTCAATTCTTTCTATTGTGAGCTATTTGGGAGAAACAAAGGACAGTCGAACAGATGATCTTTGGCTATCTTATACGTGTATATGTAATGGGGAACTGAAGTGGTGAGAAATGGCAGGGGAATATCTAAGTATTCCGATAAAAACGTACCCCAACACCACTCTCCATAACAAAACCAACACAGAACACTCTGGAACTGGGTCGAGACCGCCAGGATAAGAAGCAGGCGACTGACCGCCAGAGATTCCCAGCGCGGAGGCCCGAGTTCAATCACAGGTCAAGAAATATGGGATTCATGGTGGAAAAAGTGCCAGTAGGGCAGGTTCTCTCTGAGTAGTTCACTTTCCTTCGGCAATTCTCATTCTACAGAATGTTCCATATGTACCTACCATCCGGGGTTGGTACAATATGCCAAGTACCAGCCGGCGTCCTGAGTGGACTCAGTTTCACCCAATTCAAAGAATAAAGAAAACGCGTTACGACATGGCCTTCATAAGAACGAAGTCTCTGGTAGTCGAACCCGAAGGATCAACAAAACAGATACCGAAGTTACAAACTTCAGACGCGATTCTAAACCAGTTGCTTACAACCTCAAAACATATTCCCCCAAAAGCAATTTTATTGTTCGCCTATCATCTACTTCTAGGTCTTCTACGTGACTGATTTCCAAGAGGATTATTCACCGAACGTTTGTATGAATTCTCAGTGCCATCCATTCGTGCAACTACGGCTTATATCACTACTCTTGTAACAGTTAACCCGAAGGGATCACGAAATTCCTCGTTACGTAATATCGCAAGTTGCGATCTTTCTTTGCCGTTCTTCCTTCGCACTACTCTCCTGAGCATGTTGCTTTCAAATACGTGAAGAATCATGTTTCAGGTACATGCAGACGATAAGAGGACATGCCACAATCTTAAACATCGACACGAAATTCCAGTTACCACACGAAGAAAAAATTAAGACCAAACATACTGCAGTTCCCAGGGTTATGATGATAAGAGTACCTTGAAGATGGACGAAGTGTTTTTCTCTGAAACATCTACCACGCGACTATACGGTGTCATAACCCACAAGACTACAACATGTCTCTTCACTGTAGTTCAAATCTCATACAAGATCTTCCTCTGAAATGCTAGGAAACATACAACTATACGGTGTCATAACACAAGACCACAACAAGTATCTTCACCGCAGTGCAAATCTCATACAAGATCTTTCTCTGAAATGCTAGGAAACATACAACTATACGGTGTCATAACACAAGACCACAACAAGTATCTTCACCGCAGTGCAAATCTCATACAAGATCCTTCTCTGAAATGCTGGGAAACATACAGCTATACGGTGCCATAACACAAGACCACAACAAGTATCTTCACCTCAGTGCAATCTCATACAGTACCACCAATGATGGCACGAACTCAGTACTCACCTTGTAGAGGTACTGATCGAACATGCGGCAGACGTCTACATCCGTTCCCATGCAGTACGTGGCCTCCATAGTCTCACAAGAGCCGATAAGTTGAGTCAACGTAGCTAATGGATTGCTCGTCGTAGTGGCCGTTGTTAATGATGTTCCACAGACGGGCGATAACAACAGGTCTCTCACACGAAATCTTGTTAAGTCTTGGGAGCAAGGAGCTGTTCCAAGACAACCTTGGTGCCGCAAACGTGGGGTGCTACTTGCGGTGTCAAACCGGGGAACTAACACACAAAAACACTTGCTTTATTGCTACTGTTAACACAGATCACTGTCCGCTGACCAGATTTCTAGTCTGCACTAATGCTGTAACAGACATAAGTTTGGTTCATGGTTTCTGTCATTTGTATTTACACCCTGGAACGGCGCGCAATTTTTAAATTTGACAGTTCTTAGACTTGTACCCAGAATGATGAAGTATACAAGGTTTAACACTTTGAGATTCCAGTTCTCGTAGTCCAAGGCTCTGTGAGGTGACTGGTCCTGATTAAAGAGATTTCAAAAGCAGGTAAATCCGGCGTTTTGAGACGCCCGCGTGGAATTTCTCCTCCTCCTCTGACGATCCTAGCTCGACCACGCTGCTCTTGCAAGTAGTGAGCCGTCAGTAGAGTCCCATCAGCCACCGCGAGGCGGAGACGGCAGCGGTAACGGCGTTCCCAACTTGCCTCTCTTCGGATATCCCCCCCACTATCGTCCCCACTCCCACTTCTCTTCATAACAGACAACCCCCCACTCTCTTTCTCTCACACTGCACAGGAAAAGAAACTTGCTCCCCCACTACCATTATTGTAACCTGTATAACTATCTCTTTCAGCCAGCACCCCTCAAAACTGCGCACAACTCTTCAAAATGAAACTGTCCCGCGCCGATTTCAATCTCAGTATCAGTTCAAAAAAATTAATAACCAAGCAACAGACGTATTTTAAATTGTATTTTCCCCTCCGAAAAATGAACGAAAAAAATGACAGGTCACATTTAATTGTATCATTTTCCAATCAGTATTTAAAAAATACAATGAGTCGTAGCTAATTTACATAGCCCCACCACTGACACTAGGTATACAGTTCATCAAAAATTCCATTTAAATTCTAATTAATTTTTACCCGAGTAAACATATTATAAAACAATAGCAATTTTTGTATAGACAACTATGACCCTTTACTCCGTAGCCGCACCAATTGCCCTTGGAGCTCTTTCGTCGGCCTCGCTGGAATAACTGAGAGTAAATTCCTCTGTTGGAACAGTGATCACAGTCAACGAAGACAATGCACTTATACGTCTGATGGATGTGTCTGCGGCAGAGCTGCCTGTTTACACGTCTCTTGTGACACCTGAGGTTCTCACGGTGGATAACTCAAGAACTGTTTTCTGGGATGTGATACTGTGTACACGTTTCGGAGGGAAGTAATGCTGTGCTCAGGGCCGAAAAGAATGGTCGGCAAGCAAAGCAACAAACTGCAAACACAGCTTAGCAAGAAGCAAGCCGCGACTTTGCTGGTTGCTTAGCTTGCTTACTTTCGACCAGCAGCATGTTCCTTCCAAACGTCAGTAATCTTCCGGACTACACGACGTCACCTCCCAGAAGACTGTACTTTTTACTTCTATTCTTCATCGATTAATAGAACAAATATTTAGATTGTGTTCCTCAGGGGATGAAACAGTGCAGTCTTGTATGTGGTTACAAAAATTTCGGGGGAACCTATTGCCTTCATCTTCATGATGGAACAAACTATAATTCTCGCACAGAACATACAGTAGAATGAAAGGTACTAATCCCTGACGGGTCTGGTCAAGTGGGATTTGTGGTGGACAAAGTGGCACTGGGGTATGTTTTCTCCGAGTACTTCGGTTTCCCCTGCCAATCTTCATTCCACCAATTGCTCTATAATCACCCTCACCTATCATCTGGGGCTGGTACAACAGGCCAGAAGTCGCCACAGTACAAGGAACTTAGTCCCACCCCACTAGCAATAAAGAAAAATACTAATCTCTGAAGCACTGTACTCCGACATGGAGGTTGGGCTTCCTGAACAGCAGGAATCTACTGCATAGAGCACGACTATTTTCCTTGGAAAGCGCTACATATACTTAAGAGTCAATCGAAGACGGAATAAAGAAAGTAAATGAACGACCATCCTAACGTCTTTAGAAGAATCAAAGGCTCGTTTGAATACGGAGAACTTCGGTTCTAGCACGGCGATTCTAAACTCAGATAAGTCGAAAACCTCTCAAGAGTTCCCAGAACTTAAATTCTTCTTGGAAAGCCCAATGCATGTTCCTGTCTATCAAACTGCCGGATACAATGAAACACAGATCACAAACCTTACCACATCCTTCTTTCTGCTTTAGCCTTATGGGATTTAGCATGCTCAGACCACTTCATTGCGTTGGCTAAATATTATAGTTGAACTGTCAATAGGCAACGTCTCATAACCCTATGGGCCTTCATGGCCTGTTACAGGGATAGCTTTACTTTTTTACAGTGGAAAGTATGAGGTCTACATCCAAGTATGGGGTACGTGTAATGACAGCAATTTATTAGGACAATCACAAATCACACTCCCCTCCTTCTCAAAAGAACATTTTATCGAATTGGACGAAAGAGGAACATAGGATTTGAGGTCCTCACAGCGGTGGTGATCAGCAGTTCTGTCTTCTGGGATATTACGCTGTGTAGGCCGTTGAACAGGATAAAACCAATGGAGATAGTCTGTTGAAAAACAACCGACGTTTCGGATAAACATGTCGCCTCCATTTTCAGCGTCGAAGAAAAATCCAAACAAGAAACCAGCGTGGAGGTCGCAAGCAGATCCTGCTTACTGTCTCGTACAGAAATGCAGGTTGCATCATCCTCTCTAGGTCAAGGGCGAGGGAATGGCATCAGGTGGCCATATTCCATAGTCCCTTGGAACTGTTATGGGATACGATCAGACAGCAAAGCAATGAGTGAACAGCACTGTTCTGAGACTTCGGACACAGAAGAACACAGTGGACCACATGTGCATATCCACACCACACCGGGTACAAATATTATCGACTTGTCTTTATCTAGTAAACATCTTTATTTTTCAGAACACAACGTTTCTGGATTCTGTCTCCTTCTTCAGGTAAAATCTACTCAGCTGGGCAAAACTGACAGAGCTAGTCCCTATCTCCGGACCACATTTTTAGATCTTATTCACACTAAACAAATTTGACTGTTCGCTGGCCATTCTACAGTTGTCACTGAACTTGATGTCTACATTAGGGGTCAACCATTCTACAGTTGCCACTGAACTTGAAGTCTACATTAGGGGTCAAGAGCATGTATACAAAATTTGATGCAGTCCTGCGAGAAAGAGACAAACTGTACAGACCTACTAAAGGATAACATTAAGGAAAGCGCCTGGTTGCGGTAATGTGAACTCAATATGGATGGCTCAGAATGTCGGTAGGTGGATTTTGCTACCATCGTACTGAAACTTTCGCTCCGTAACACCAGAGTAATCCAAGTGATGCATACTTTGTTACACTTAGTTGTAGTGCATAAATGAATTAGATGGTCAATCCGTCTACGTAAGCAATATACGTGGCATATTGTTCATCGTTTTTCCCTGACGTCGGCTATCGCTGCGTCCCTTAAGAAGACGCCTTCCCCTTAAGCTTAGTAACTATTATACAATCTTCCGTTTTAATTAGAACTGAAAGACCTAAAGGGAGAAGGCTACTTGGAAGATCTAAGGGCAGATGGGGGAATAATATTAAAATAACTCTTAAACAGTGTATGAGAGCGTTGACTCGATTAATCAGGCTACGGATAGGAATGAAAGGCGGGTTCCAGCGAGCAAGATTCAAGCCACTGGGTTCCATAAAAGGAGGGGAATATATTGACCAGATCAGCGATTGCAAGCTTGTCAAGCAGGACTGTACTCCATATGTTGTAACCCTTACGAAGTGCGGAATTAGTGTTAAAGCATTGTCGGTCCTCTCAAGCTCAGAAGCGAAGGGGAGCAGTCGATCTGCTGGACGAAGAAGATTGCCAGTGTTAGACAGAGGCGAGGCAGTGAGGCCACCAGAAGAATCGATACAAGCCCCCTCGACTCGCTACTGAATTATGTAACTCACGTTTAACGAATTTAACGGCAGCGACACCAATAAAGCTTGTTTAATCTAACTCCGCAGTACAAAATGGCGACGGTGGTATTATGCTATATATAATATAAGATGAAGAAGAGAACAAAGAAGAGCAATGATACTGTCGCCTCTTCCTTTGTCATTTGAGCCAAGGGCTCGAACACTTGCAACGGTTAATGGAGTCCGAAACAATGGCGATGTCTCTGATCTCAACTGCAGAAATTACAATGAGCTAAACGAAATTCAATTTGAAATATAAAACATAATTCGAATACAATATCTCCAACCTCAAAACGAAGGGTGTAAGGCAGGAGATCACAATACACGCCCGAGGTGCCACCATGCCAGTTAACTTAACGCATAGCATATATGATCAGTTGATATGATGGGACGAAACGGTTTTATCCCTACTAGACCTCATCAACTGACATTAGGAATAAACAAGCTATTAATAGAGTAGCAGCAAGAACAACAGATTGCAATTTTAGAAAGCCATTCCTGTAACAGGCCATGAAGGCCCATAGGGATGTGAGACGTCGAGGCTCCCACATTTTCTCCAGACAGTCGGCTCACAGATGGCGGTAATGTTGTCAGACTTACGCGCCAGCCGCCCATTACCCACAGGAAGATTCCTGGTGCTCATTTTTGTTAGAGCCTAAGTCGACCCCAGAGCCATAGTGCAGATGGAAAGATTAGGTCAATTGTAAAATTCAGTGATCTCATCGGGACTCGAATCGGTGACCTTCCGGCTTGTACCATAGTGCCTCAACCAACTATGCTACCGCATGCCCTCTTGCAATTTTCTCGCGCGCATATATAATAAGACAAGATAAAACCATACACACAGAAAGATATAAATAAACAAATAAATAACGCAAGAATGACACAGAGAGAATAAATAAAAAGCAAGAAAAAGGGCGGGTTAAAAAGAAACAGAGGCAGAGAATACAGTACAGGAAACAACTGAAGCAAGAAAAACAGAGGAAAAGAGTAAGAAAGAGACAAAAGAAAATAAATTAGACAAATTACATAAAAATAGGGGAATAAATATAGAAATATACGTATTATATAAATAAACTGTCCATTCAAATTGATATTCTCGTACCTATCTCTTACACGCGGGATTGCAAGACGTACTGCTTCACATTTCGTCCATCGGTTACACTGTACACTGCTACAGATGTGTCAATGTTTTCTTATATAATACCGATTACACCCTCATTAAACCCTCGACAGAAGCATTGCGAATATTAGAAGTAACCACAGTTTTCAATACAGCGCATGAGGCAAAAGAGTGAAAAGTAAAGGAAACTAAAATACTTCAATGCATAACAAAATGCGAACCTATTAAAGGATCAACGCCCCCCCCCCCNCCAGGAGCTGAACCCTTCTTAAGAGGCTGCCAATTGTGCAGCTACTCAAGAACTTCCCAGCATTTTATGTAACCCGAAAGTTCATTACCGTGTTCACAAGAGCCTTTCAGATATCCTGAGCCAGATAAATCCAATCCATACCAACCCATCCTATCTCTCTGAGATCAAATTTAATATTGTTC